CTTTTTGGTGTGCTGATGATGTTACCTAGTTGGCTAATGAAATGTCTGCAAGCAAACAGTCAAGCTCAGAGAGCATCAAGAACTCCATAGGGAGAGATTGTTATGAAGAAAATTGATCTATGTGATCATTAAGAGTTGACACCTACTTGATGACACATAATAAAAAAATCCATGCCGTGTTAATTGCTTGGAGTGTAAATTGCTATATGGTTCTCCAGAGACATCTCCCCTCCAAGCTAAAGGTTTAAAAATGCTAGGAATGGGATAATCATATCTTGATCCAATGTAAATACTATGGTATGAAATGCATGCCTCTAAGCCAAGAAATCATATAAAAAACTTACCTTTTCACATGATAGTCAGACATGGTTTCCTACTTTCCAAATGGCCATTCTGTTTGAAGGGTTTGATAGTTCTGTTGGAATGGATCTATAGCTTATGCCTGGCTTAAAAGAAAATGAGCCATAGGAAACCAATTGAAGGGTCTTTAGGGTACACACAGGTCATTGGATCAGTTTTATCTAGATATTCTATATCTGATTGCAAAAATCCAGGTGGCCATTAAATGGGAGCAAAGAGAGTGTTCGGTACCTGTTTGCAGCCATCCAGTGATCATCTGGAGATTTGCAGCCCAGGAATGATATCTAAATATGATTTGTGTATATCTGTGGGCAGATGCATATACAATACAAATCAGTGAATTTTTTTTTTTTTTGGTCCTCTATTGTGGGGACTGGGAGATGCATATTTTCCTTTATAGTGTACAAGTAGACATAGTGATGCAATTTGTGTCACCCAAAACCTCAATCTTCCTCTCGTGTGCAATTTTGGGTTTTAGTTAGCATACATGTTGGTTCATGGGCATGACATCACTTTATTCACAGTGAACATATTTTTAGCAGATTTCCAAAATTCGACACCCTCAACTTTGATTTTTCTGAAACTGATTAATGTTCTTCTAAACATTTTCCTTCATGGGTGTGAAGTTCACTTTTCTGATGTTGATTTTGTTGTTGTTCAGTCGTTAAGTTGTGTCCGACTCTTCATGACCCCATGAACCATATCGCGCCAGGCCTTCC